ACGCGTGAATGCATTTGACTTCCCTGAACGCTGTTCCAACTCGGTACTTCTTTGCCCTCCGGGAGCTTTCTGCAGAGTCTCTTTTCATCCTCTGTTCAAGATATCTGTCCGCTTCAGCTGATGTACGACAGCCAGCAGCTTTAGCCTCCTGAAAAATTTTACCGCAACCACATCAAGGGGAAGAAAATAAATGAAGTATTTCCCTAAAAGTAGAGTGTTCTTTTCTGACATTAGATTTATATCCCTATCGTTGAACAGAAAATAGCAGCAAAAACATCTGCCAGGAATAATTAAATATAAAAGTGTAATGTGACATACTTTCAGTTCTTGGATCCTTTTCAAAGTACGGTGCTGTTCAACAGAAGTCCGAAGTAGCTCTTCATGCTCTTCCTTGGAATGGAAACGCATGAAAGGATCATAACTCCGACATATTGCTATCTCTTCAGGAGACAAGTCCTTCTCAAAAGGATTTGCATACAGCAAATTCCTTTGCAATATGAAATCCTTTCTACGTTGCCGCTCATCAAGTCTGCGATAAGCTTATTTTAATCGTGGTGCCAAGTGAAAGAGGGACCATTTTCATTTATAAATCCATCCGACAACAACTTATAGGCAAACATCAATCTCATTACAGACCTCATATCTTCTCAAAACAAAAAATTGCTGGTTGCTTACCTCTTTGAATAAGCACGCAGCACTCGTATCTTCAGCTCCCGCTCTTCTTCTGTGTCTGTATCGTTGAATTCCATCTCAGCCAGCAACTGCTCAGCGTCATGGTCATATTCAGGATCAAATTCTTGTCTTTTGGGGTTATAACCACTCAACTCTATTAGATTATCATTCCCCGTAGAGCTTGGTTTCTTCCCCCCAAAATTTCTGTCTGTTTGAGGATCTGTCAAGAAAGAATAATTGTGATTTGGAAGCTTATTTTATGTTCTTTGAACTTATTTTGTGAACGATCTTGATTCTTATCATTTACAAAATGGAGACCGTTCTTAACCATCTTGAAGTACTTCACCAAGCTTCCCCTCCGCTCTCATTCTAAATGGTCTTAATGAATAGAAAACATATTTGGGCTCGAGGGTTTGAGAGAAGAGTGTGAATATATATATATATTCAATGGCTTTTTGAAGCTTTTCTTCATGCTCTTCCTTGGAATGGAAACGCATGAAACCCATGAAAGCCTCGTTGAATAAACACGCAGCACTCGTAAACTCATGTCACGCTTTTTGTCTGTGTTTGTAAATTTGAATTCTATCTTAGCCAGTAACTGCTCACCATCATTATCATGTTCATCATCAAAGAGAACACACCTTCTGGTCGGGTCTTCCTCGGAGTGGAAATTCCTCCGAGAACGACCCATTTTGTTTTCACGCTGAAGTTGCTTGTCAACTATCAGGTGTTTGCTGTTATTGTTCAACACTATCGTGTAGGGTATTTATAGAGTCAAAACATGAATTGAGATATTCAAAAAATTCCAAATTCATTACTGAAAAGTGACAAACATTTTCTGGTGACAAATTGATTATTTTTCAAATTGGCATTGATGGATTTCATGGTTTTAGTAAAAATATTAAATTTTAAAGATTTTATACCATTTCAGCGGATTTATATTATGTATTTGCTATGTAAAGTAGGTTGGAAGACATTAAATTTTTGAGATTTTATACATTGTGAGAGGATTTATGCTATGAATTTACTATGTAAAATAGGTTGGAAGACATTAAATTTTTGCGATCTTATACCATTTCAAAATATTTATATTATGGATTTTCTATGTAAAGTGGGTTGGAAGACATTAAATTTTTATCATTTTATATTTTATGAGATAATTTATATTATGAATTTGCTATGAAAAACGATTTGAAAGACATTAAATTTTTGAAATTTTATACCATTCAAGAAGATTTATGTTATGAATTTGCTATATACAGTGAATTAGAAGACATTAAATTTTTGTGATTTTATACATTGTGAGATGATTAATGTTATGAATTTACTATAAAAAATGAGTTGAAAGACATTAAATTTTTGAGATTTTTATACATTTTGAGAGGATTTATGTTATGAATTTACTTTTCACAATAGGTTGGGGGCGATGGTATATTGGCAATTTTAGTATGCAAGGTCTTGTTTGGTGTTTTTTTTTCTTTTATTTTTTCTACCCTTCTCAGAATGAGCAAGATTATAAGGTCAAAAAAATCGGTATTTATTGGAGAAAATCTGGATTCAGAAGGAAAATATCTTCACGGGAGGCAAAATCTGTGTTTCTGGAAAGAAAATGAAGGTTACCAGTCCAAATTAAAAGAATAATAATGAAAATTGCCAAGATTTAAAATATTTTCTTCTTCAAACAATAATTTTCTCGATCAGCAGTTTTGATCCAAACGATTATTCAGATTTCAGTTTTTAAAAGATTAAGAATTATTCAGATTTCAATCCAATTAGCCAATAACCTTGTTCATGAACTTGCTCAGAAATAATTTAAAATGAAATAACTCTTTTTATAAAATTATTGGGATTTAAAAAAAAATGACTAAATGTTTAAAATAAATAAATAAATGGCTTAGTAATCAATAAGATCATAATGAATTTGTAATGCTCACACAATCAAAAACAATATGTACAATCAAAATAATATACATACATGTACATGTTTTACCTTTAGAGTCTTCATTTGAAGAAAATGATTCGGATTGAAGTACTGATAATTGATCGACCTTTTTACTTATAGTTACAAGTTTCATTTCAGACAGATCTTCCGTTACGCATGCCTTATCGAAAGGTTTTGTTGTCAGAGCGAGTAAGAAATTCTCTGTTTCAGTATTTTGATACTTTGTGTGAAAATATATAACCAAATGATATAATACTGTTAATAAGAGCAAATTACTTGAGTTGTGCTCAAGTCTTATCTCTTACCCTGTTTAAAAATTGAAAACGAAGATATTATTAAAGGTGCTACGAGCGTGTTACAATTAAAAAGAATAGAGATACAATAAGAATAAAAGAAATTGTAAAGCAAAATAAATACAAAAGCATAACAATCAACTTACGCATAGGTTAGTGACAAACCATTCAAAATTTACCTTGCCGATAAGAAGCAGCAAAAATCGAGATTTTTTATGGTAACTTATGATTCTTTTCCTCACCTTGACTAACAACTATATAAAGATGAATGATATGAGGAAAAACATAACGAACGTCTTAACACAATTATTTTTCCTACTAAAATAAAGAGATACGCGTTAACGCCGTTACATTTATATAGATTTGGAATTAATATATAAGATTATTATCAATATGTCAAGATAAGAAATATTAACATTTTAGGTTTTATACATTCATTTGCATAATACCTAGCTTTTCATTTGACTATATGTATCTACTCGTTTTAATAATCAATGTTTTTATTTTATTTATGACGAATTTTCAATATGATCCATGATAATTTAAAATTTTTTCATTTAAGACTTTAGAATTTATTTTTCGATAACTCATATCTTACACTTTATATGTTTTGTCAAATTGACCGACTCAATCGACATTAGACATGAGCACACATATAACTACTATTCAACCACATAAGTAGATATTTTAAAAGTAAGAAAGATAATTTATATTAATTTATCTACTAAAAATTATATTTATCATTAAATAAACTTAATAGAATAGGACCACAAATTCTAAATTATTCATTGGTTTCACTCAAATATCTCTATAATCGTAAATCTGTCTTCAATTGTCAAATTCGTAATCAACTCTTTCAAACCAACATATTACTAGTGTAACGGTCCCGAAAATTTAAAAGAAAATATATGTATTAAAAATTCTAAGTGTGGAAGCGAAATAAAAATTCTGATTAACATCTCTTACACAATAACCAAAAACCTATTCAACATGTAAAAGAATAAACTAACTAAGGTAAATACTAGTAATGAATGCTATAAATAAAAGTATGAAATCCTTAGGCGTCTACTCGCCATCTTCCTGCGGGATGGGCTCGGGAACCAAATCTTTTTGATCTAAAATGGTTAAATAAGGAATGAGCTACACTAGCCGAGTAAAGACATTACATTATTTCACTGTCACAGAAGTAAAGGTTGGTAGAAAACAAAAACAACAAATGGAGCATAATTCATGATAAATTCATTTATCAATAGTAAAACCCTTTACTCTCCACTTACCTCAGTGAGCTTTATGAAAACAACATAAGAAAACAATAACACTATAATATCATGAAATCGTACACGCTTTATAACATAACACATATCGTACCTTTGTATTTCAATCATCAGACAACATATTTTCTTCTTTTAGCAGTCTACTAGTATCCATGGGGATCCATAGGGGTCCCCGCTATACGTGAACCATTCACATTGATAACTTGATTCAGGGCCGTCCCCATTTTCCGTCCGGTATGGGCGCAAAAAACTATAAACCTCAATACCCCATCCGGTATGAGAGTGAAACGGGCTGTCCCCATATTCCGTCCGGTATGGGCACCAAAACACGTAAGGTCTCCATACCCCGTCCGATATGAGAGACTACGTTCCCGGTAGGGTTCCCTACGGATCCGATCCGTCCACCATCTCTAAGGATATCTAGTTAGACTTTCGACATCATCTATTTATCAATTCACATACCTTTTTCTATTTTTCTCGGTCTCAATTTTCTAATCAAACGTAAACACGTAAACCAGTAATGAACACCAAATAAGACAACAACGGGTTCCCAATAATTAAAACCATAATAAACGAAACCGTGATTCATGCATACGAAACCATAAAATAAATACATCAGATACCATGCTGCATTTTAAACTGTAAAATAGATCAAACAATAACTGACCGAAAAATACATCAGATTCGGGCTCCATTAGTAACCTTAATTAATTATACACAATTCATGAAATACCGTTTTATCATTTATTGAGCTTTAATACCGTGATAGAAAATAGGGTGAGAAATCCTTACTTGTTTCGGGGTCTGAAATCTGGTTCTCACTACGCCTACGAGCTGTCCCTAAATTCCCTGAATTTTTTTTCTAAGAAACTGAAACACACTTTCGGTACCTGCACGTGTCCCAAAAAACTCCAAATCAGACCTAGAGCCCTTTTCGGCCAATATCAGAATTCTGGCACGGCAGCTTCGCCGTGCTCCGGCGACGGCACTGCCCCCCGCAGCGGCGATCAGTCTCGGGTTGGCCGTTTTTGGTCGAATTCGGCCAAACTTGCATTGGTTCCTGCGATAAAACAACCCTAGGGCCCTCGGTGGGCTAAAAAATCACGAAAAACTGAGACTTACCGGCGGCGAAGCTCTCGGGTGCGGCGGCTTCTCCGGCGCGAGTCGCGATTTGATGTTTTACTCCGGTCAACCTGTAGAGAAAAGGACGGTGATCATAGTGGTGTAAAAATTGCATCGAACGGGAAACTGGAAGGGCCTCATCGGAGGCAAAAATTGAGGGAAGCTGCGGCGACGCCGTTGGACTTCGGCGGTATTTTTCCGGTCGATTGGCCGGTGGTTTGGCTCCGATTAGGCCATAGGCGGATTCATCATCGAAAAACAAGCCAAGGGGAGAAAATTTACCTCGTTG